TGGTTGTTCTGGGTTCAGACTCACCATGATGACTCCGATGCCGATGCCGACTCCACCGATGATGTGCAGCCGGTTGTTGAACATCTCGTCGATGGCGGCCGGACAACTCTGACGGACGAAACGCAAAGTTTAACCATCGCAGTCGAGCAATAACGGACGTTTTTTATCAGAGTTTGAGCTGCACACGTGAGGATTCTGTGATTTTCAAAGCTTTTGTAAACTTGCGGCTCTCTGTGAAGGATTCTATGAAAATGCGTATATATTCACTTAAACAATTAAAAATACAAAAAGCATCACAAAGATTATTGATTATTGTGTAACTGCTGATAGAAAGAAATGGTTTGTTGTATATAAGAAATCAGCTCATTAACTGGTTAAAATAAGAATAAAAATAATAACATTGGAGAAATTTTATGATAAAACTCTGACGTGAAACCAAACATCTCAATATTATACATCCATCCTTCTCAATAATAGCTTGCAAATTTATTTTTTTAACTAGACAAAGTAGAAACATTCAAATTTTATGACTCGGCTGATTATAGCATGACAAAAAAAATCTGTAGAAAGAAAATATTTCATCAAAAAATGGGAAGATCAAACTTAATTAATCCCAAAACATATTTGTTTGCCAGATATCGCTCAGAAAACAAAACTAAATAACAGAAAAACAGCAGGAGATAAGTGTAATACATGACTATAAACAACAATAAATGAGCTAAAGTAAGACTAGAAATAAGACGAGCAACGATTCTGGAGAAGTAAATCAATGTGAGACGTGAAAATGAAATATTGCATTTGAAATTGAAATTTTAAAGAAAATAACCAAATTAATAACATAGAAAGACAGCGTTTGGGAAAAAGCGGTTTGAAAATGTCAAATAAATGAATGAAACATTTTAGAGACCAAAGAAACGATTAAAATCACTGATTTTAGTTTTTTGTCGGTGCAGCTCATCGTCATAATTTAAGTATATTTGGTTTTTTATCTTTAATAAATTGGTGATGCTGGAATTTAAACATTCAGGACGAATGTTCTACGTTTGCAAACAACTCGTGTTAAATTCGACCCATTCATACGGTTAATATAGCGTCGTTACCGTGGTGATGAGGACCTCCAGGCCCTCCTTCTTGGGGCAGATGTCTTTGGCGGCGTCGATCACGGTTCCCGTCGGGCCGCAACAGTCCAGCTGAGAAGACGAAATGACAAGAGGTCAGAACAGAACCGCTGACGAATCAACGAGCCGATTAGCTTGTGATTGATCAAACAGCAGCTAAAGCCGGCGTTCTCACTCCAAAGTGAATGAGCCTCAGCGTCTCCTTCAGCGCCTCCTGTCTGGTGTCCTTGTAGTTGGCGTAGGTCTGCTTGTAAAACTCGGTCACGTCCTCGACCACCTGCAGACACAAAGACAAACTCAACGCACACGTCCCGACTGATCACATCGATAAGCGCCGAACGCTGAGAGTTGGTCGTACCCGGTCCTTGTTGGAGAGACCCCAGATCCCGGCAGCCACTTCCACGGCGAAGATGATGAGCAGGAAGAAGAAGAACTGAACCAGAAAACAACACAACCAGGTCAGCGGGTTGTTGGAAAAGTTTCATAAATGTGATAAAACTACACGTGATCATGTCTAATTTACAAACTCATCCACCTCAGCTGAGCTTAACACATTTTCCCCTGAAACTACTCGATGGAAACACGTTTAAACCAGATTTCTGGGAATGAAACGGTCTTTACAACATCAGCACCTCTTAGGTTGATGCGTTAAACTTCTCTTAACAGACATTAGTTCAGATATTTCGTCGTGTTTGTGTTCGCCTTATAAGTTAAAATCCAATATTTACTCTCTTTTTGCTCCATTTTTGGTCTCCACGACCTCCTCAGAGAAATATTTATAAAAGAATCCAGTACCTATGGCGGTGTTGAACTTTAAATCTGTTATGGTGGGATGGCAACGAGTGTGTCCATGAGTATCTCATATCACGACAGCCTGAGTGTCAAACATCAGTTTCATCCATATCAAGAGTCCAGATTGTGACATAATCAAGAATCTGAGGCTGGACTTGAAACTAACGCATCATTTCTGATCGATATCCAACTCTTCTACCTAAATGAAGAATCTTTTATGGTCAAAAATGACCCGTTGTCGCTGGATTTCATTTTGCAGCAATCGAATTTTAATTCTGTCGTATTGATAAACTCATTTAGAGGTGAAAACCTCACTTTTTAAAAGGTATTTTGTGTATATTTTCTCCAAGAAGCATTATTTTAAATTCCTTAAACGTCAAAACTAGCAGAGGATATGGAGTCGTGCTTTGGGATTTTGCAGCTTTAATAGAAGTTTTTTTGTTTGACATGAACTGGGAGGTTATGAGATTTACAAAGGAATGAGTGTTGCAGCTTTGCGCCGTGGCAGTTTATGAAAATATACACAAGATGGAGGAAGGACATAAAGCAAACGCAGGAAAACTGCTGCTGGATAAATACGAGGACGGACTCACCAATCCCAGCATGCACGGCGACTCTTTGATGGCTCCGCAGCATCCCAGGAAGCCCACGACCATCATCAGGGCGCCCGCCGCGATCAGGATGTACACGCCTACAACAGAACAGGGTGATTAAGGGTTAGGGTTAGGGTTACCTGTGAGGGAACAACAGTGAAACAAGTCCAGCTTGGTTTTATTTCTAGGACGCGTCGTAAAGGAGCTTCTCTGCCGTTCTTCAGCTTCTCAAACATGAAGGTTTAAAGCTTTTCCACATCTCATATTATAGTAAACTGTATTTTTTTAAATTTTTGCACTATTGGTCGGACAACTAAGGCGTCACTTTGAGCTCCGGGATGCTTTAGTCACAGTATTTGAGGTTCAAAAATCAAACAGCTGAACTGAAAAAAGGAGTAATGACGATCACCTCTAGCTGCATGCATGTCCACACCACTGAACACATGAGTACTTCATGAGTACAGCTGCTTATTCATGTAATTATCCAATCAAACATCAATCAGGTGTCAACAATGTCCACCTGATGAATTTCATGATCTTTTTTTAGCTCCATGTTTGGTCTCCACCATCTCCTGGGAGAAAGATTTGTCTTTTTAGCTACTAAAAGATATTTTATGTTCCCCAGATGGTCCCAACAGGATCTGCAAGAACTGCAATGGATTCTGTTGGACCATGTTGGGTTTTTACATGTTTATATAAATCGGGGTCATCTCGTCTGACAACTCTTTAAAAAAAAAAAAAAAAAAAAACATTGTTTATCCAAAAATCAAGACAGATTCAGTAGCTGCATGGATTGTTTCCTGCCTAAAATATCTCCAGAAACACATTTCAGTTACCTGTTTATGTTATATAAGAGATGTTTTCCAGATGTGCTGCTATGTTGGTAGCAACCAGAGAAATCACTTAAGAAACACCTGCAAATGTCTAATCAAGAAACTTGTGGCAGCAGTGTCCATTTACTGAATGAAAGTCCAATATTCACTCTGTTTTAGCTCCAGTTTTGGTCTCCATCACCTCCTGAGAGAACATCTTTAACTGCTAATTGCTGATCATGTTCACCAGCTGGTCTCCAGTGTTCACAGAATCTGTCATTTTCAGACTACTTCCTGTAAATCAGTAACATCCAGACGCAACTCGTTGCCCCAAATGCTCTTGGAAGTACTTTTAAACCGTCTGTCGTCGCCAAAACAGACAGATTTAGCAGCTTAGTGGCTTGTTCCTCATCTAAAATGTTTTCAAAAACACAGGAGCAAACAGCCCACAAATGAAAGAATTCATTTTATTAGGAACGCCTATACACCTGCAACTATCACATCAAAAATAAATAAAAAATCATGTGACAGCAGTGTCTGATGACTTAACGTCCAATATTCCCTCTATTTTAACTCCGTTTTTGGTCTCCACCAACTTCTGAGAGAGAAATCAGTTTCTTTGACTGCTAGATGCTGCTCTGTGTTCACCAGCTGGTCTCTACACAGGATCTGTCATTTCCTGATTTGGTTTCTATGTAAACAGCCGTGTAATGCAGGTATTCTGGTAGCGCCGGTTGTGTCTCGAGAGACGAGGCACTTTGCATTTGGATAAAGGTAAATATGGACTACATTATGCAAGTCTGAGCATCCAACCGCCAACCAGTGCCTCTGAAAACTCACCAAGAAACTTTAAAAACTAAAAAACTACCAGTATAAACTTTATTTTTCTTACTAACTTTAGTCCAGGGGTTTTAGTAGGTTCATAAATATGACTTGACTACACGTTATCATAGATGTGTGCATTTTATTTTCTGTAAATTTAAACTTACCCACATCAATCTATTATAAAAACCTTTAACGATGTCTGCACATAAAGAAAAGCTGGATAAAGATGTACTCAAACTACATTTTTGGGCAGAACATCACCTTTTAAGTAGCTATGTTGAATCGTTAGCAAACTGTAGCTCAATTCTAGTCATTTATTTGGAGTCGTGTTTGAGTTAAAGTCCAATATTTACTCTCTTTTAGCTCCATTTTTGGTCTCCACCATCTCCTCAGAGGTTTCTTTTACGGCTAAATGGTGCTCCAAGTTCACTAGCTAGTCTCTAAAGTCCACAGGATAAGTCATTTCAACACTTCTATGCATTGAGTCATTCAGCTTTATCGTGTGTTTTTGGCAAAATAAAACAATAACTGACAAAGTGAACGTCATATTGTATTGAAGGAGACTTAAAACTAGCCGTAGAGATCATGAACTCATTAGGAAAATGTTCAAAGATTCAACAAATAAGGTGAAAAGTAGCTAGTTTCCTAATACATGTCTTTTTCCAACCAGAGTCGCCCCCTGGTGGTCTCAAGAGAGAATGCAGGTCCAAGGCTTCACTGGTCACACCTGGAGACGACGTCTATTTTAATATCCAGCAGAAGCTTAGAGGAAAGTTTCGTCTAGAAACGAGGCTGTTTGAGAGCAAAGGGAGACTCGACCCGGAACGAACGTGGATGAATTAGTCAGAATTTGCCTGCAGGGCGCCTCGTCTGCTTCTCACACCGTAAATTTACATTCGTTGTTTGCATGTCGTGTCACAGCAGAGACTGATGTTACTCTGGTTTGAGCAAATATCAACCAGATGAATCCACCAAAAGAAATGCATGTGGTCCAACAAAAACATCTTAAATCATGTTGCGACAAAGCTGCGATGTGAGTTTCCAACGATCGAGAGCCATCAGCGGTAATCTGACTGTTTCATTGTCCCTTGATGTGGCTTTCGAGTGGATGACTCATAATAAAGAAGATGACTGTAGGACAACAATAGCTGCAGCAGCGCTGAAGTCACGAGCACATTAACCGCACACACAAATATTCCTCCTCCGGCGCTTCTTCCCTGCAAAGCCGTCATTAAGATGTTTGTCATTTCCAGCCCCGTCCTCCGTCGCCTCGCTGCCCACTTTCAGTTTAACGGAGGCGAAAAAAAAAAACAACACAAAGACAGAAGGGAGGGAGCGGCTCCGTCTTTCTGTGACAGTTCCTCCGAGAATACAAAAGCCGGAGAACAAAGGCGTCCCTGTCCGGTGGCGAAGAATGAAAGCTATGTTCGGAGGATCCGCCTCGCTGTGGACCAACGGTGGCCTCGGCTGCCCTCCGGACGGCCCGCCGCTTCCATCCTTCACCCATCAGGTCACCGGTGGCCTCAGTCAACAAGCAGCGAAGCCAAAATAAGTCACAACGATGATGACAAACTGATCCTTGTGTCAGTAGGTTTGGTGGATCAACTCATTTTCACCCACTGTGGGCTCACGATGTAAAGTCCTGCACCTCCATGGACACAACAACCATGACAGAGCTCAAATGCCCGTTATGAAGCCATGAAACCATAAAGAAAGAAACACCTGATGCTGAACTTCTTCCTGATTATACACATTGAACCGTTTACACACTGCCTGCACTTCAACCGACAAGCTTCTTGTGATTTTTGAGTCAGTCGTGACTTCTTGGTTGCAGAATTTTTTGGTCCTTTATAGAATCTGATGCGAACTGTTTGGTTTTTAAATCGAGACGTGCAGAATAAAGTGATTTTGCTCAAATACAAAAGTCCTGCATCTCTATGGAAACGGCACAACCACGACGAGAAGCGGTTGAAACTCAGGAACGTCGTTTTGCTCCATCTAGGGGTTGTCTGAGCTATAACGATCTATCCCAGGAAACCGAGCGACCGCAGAACTCAAGCAGTGATTTATTTTGTTGAAGAACTGAGTCTCAACTTCAGCGTGGCCAAAAAAGAACCAAAATAAGCAATCGAGCAAAAACAAAACAAATCTAAACCAAAATACAGCCACTTGCCTTCCTAACTACTGAAACCAGGAGACAACAGTTAAACTTCTGTTGTTCTGAACAAAACTTTGAAAAATACCTGGACTCCACACACTACAGATATTTAGTTATACATGCGTTTACAACCTCTACACACTGTTTCTACGATGTTCCACCATCAGCTGGATGCATCTCCAACAACTGGCTCCTCTGGTCACTGTCTATGAGCCGTGCTGCTTTTATTTTATGGATCCAGTAGGTTTTAATTTCCTCTTAATCTTTGCTCTGCATAAACACTGTCTGCACCTGAAAACTCTGACCAACAGTTTCCATCATGACTTCATCTGTTGTGTTGGAAGCAAAGAGTCATAGTTTTTTTTACAGAATCTGTTCATGCAAATGCCGTATTTTTGTCAACAACTCTGAATGCGTCACATAAATGAAGAGATTATGATGCAAAATTCTTGGTTACAGCTAGAAATATTGAACAATTCTTTCCGTTTTGAAAGTTTCTAGCTGTTAAATGGCGTCATTGGTTTCTTTCAAACCTGCTACCAGGTTTTGGAGTTCAGAAGGTTTAAACTTGCCCATAACTCAACCACTTATGCCGTCTGTTAGCTTGTACGCCCTCTAAGCTGTTTTAACCGACTCAAACATGACGATGACGACAGAAAATTGGCTCAAAACGGAAAATAAACACGACACAGGACAGAGCTAAGCTACATGCTAATATATGACAGTACAGAAAACACTGATTTGTTTCAACACCTCAAACACAGAATCTGAAGATCCCACGTCCAACAAAAGCCCTAAAACGTACCATTTCTTCGTCCATTTTCCTCCAAATCTGATCATAATTTACAAAAATAACAACGTTCTGTATTTAAGGAGACTTAAAACTACACATTAAGACCATAAAGTCATTATGAAAATGTTTATCCAGCGAGAAGTCTGCTCGCTTTCTCATCGGCTTCTATTTAATCAGAGGAGTCGCCCCCTGCTGGCTGTTGAAGAGAACGCAGGTTTAAGTCACTTCTGCCTCAGCTAACTGGGACTATTTTCAGTGGCGGATTAATAAAAGGACGATGCTTGAGTCCAGATAAACTGAATTGCGTGTGTTCAAATTAACTCAAAGCAGGACTTTGATGGACCAGTTCGGACACATTCGCTGTTGGTTCGAGTGTTTTAAAGAGCGACTGTCCTCCTAATGAAGCCACAAAGCCATCGCCGTGACGTTCACTTAACACTGAACTGTGCCTTTAACTCTTACAGAACCACAAAAACACATGAAACTTTAATGATCCCGGAGGAGTGGCGCCACTTCCGGACCGTTATGTGGCTTTTAAAATGCACAGCTTTCCTTCTGCCCCTGGTTTTGTTTTCCCCTCTGCTAATTTCTCCCTCGACACCGGACAGGAACCGACCGACAGCACGTCTACGATGGTTTTTCCCATGAAGCATTCTGTTGTTGTTGATTGCTGAGCTGCCTCTGATGTTCTCTTTGGACCACAGTGATGTTGTATTACATTTAATAAAACCTACCCTCAGCACTGAGAGCCGGTTGGTGCGTTTATGAGGATTTTCCTTCGTCAGTGTTTTTGTGTGACGGTAAAAGTCTCACCGGTGAAGAAGACCGACGGCGAGTCTTGTCCTTCAAACAGTCCCGCCGTCCTGGAGTCGAATCGCAGCCACAGTCCGACCGCCAACACGCCGGTTCCTGCAAGCTGCAAGAAAACAAACAGAAAAACATCTTTACGGTCACAGCAGGAGGTTCAGGTTGACATCTGGTGCATCCATGAAGCCGACTCGTTGTCAGCGGGTCAGTTTCTTGCACTTTCTCCCCCATCTTTGCTTAGTGAACCAGTTTGTCTTGTTGACACGACGTTCGTAGGGTTGTGGTTCCATCATGAGCTCGGCTGTGGTTTAAGACTGAGGATCGGTTACACGTCTATTTACTAAACCTCACTGCGGTTTGGTTCTGAAACACCTGCAGAAATCACCTGCAGAGGCTTCTGAGGTTTAACCTGCTCCAGTTTGATCTGAATGAACTCGAGTTTGATTAGATTAAAAAGAAAAAAAAACAAAAACCAGAAATGTCAAACCACAGAAACAGAAGTGAGCAGCGTCTTGTGTAATATGACCTTCATGTCAAATGACTCACGGCGGTGTCACATCACAGAAACAACTTTTTTTCTTCGAAGTATTTCCTCTTGTGAACAAGAAAAACAAATATCGCAAATTCAGGCTCCAGAGTTGATTCTCAAAGCAACAAAAGTGAACCTAAACCAAGTCCATGTGTGATTTCCAATCAGCCAAACTGGATAGAAACGGTTCTAAACTGAGCCATGAGCAGCAGAACTTCATCAGTTTTGGACCTATGAGCTGAGACCATGTCCACATCATGACTCCACACGGAGAAGAACTGAACGGAGGAACTGAAAGCATCCAAAAAGTTCAACATTATGAGCAGTCGTCCTCCTGAAATAACTCCAAGGACGGTCAGCTGCCGTCACAATCTGAAGAACAGCTGCTTCAGACTTGGTTCAGGGCTTATCGATGGAGACCAGCGTTGGTGTGAAGCTCAGACAGCGAAGGACACTTTAACCTCGGAGGACAGGAAACACGACGTTACTTGTTCTTTGACACAAAAATTTTAGATTAAACTTTGGTAAACAAGCCTGTTGAGACCGAGATAATGTTTTGAGGTTCAAATGGAGTCCAGATGTTTGGTGTGACCCTGAACCAGGACCACCACAGTGAAGCATGGAGGTGGAAGCATCATGATGCGGGGCTGCATGAGGGCAGAAGGTGTTGATGACATTCATAGATGCTCCATGAATCTCTGAGGATAAACCACAACACAACACTACAAAGAGACAGAAAATTACTAAAATAAAGACGTAAATGACCACTGAAGATCCAAACAACCACAAAAAGGAAAACAGCCACAAAAACATGCAAAGTGACGACAAAGAGACACAAAGTGACCCCAGATCCAGTTTAAAGGACGGTTCATAACATCAACCTCTTGCCCGAGAACATGAAAACAAGCTTCACTAATGTCGGAGAACGTTCTCTGGTCAGATGAAGATCAATGTGTTGGACTCAGATGGAGTCCAGATGTTTGGTGTGACCCTGACCAGGACCACCACAGTGAAGCATGGAGGTGGAAGCATCATGACGTGGGGCTACATGAGGGCAGAAGGTGTTGATGTCTGAGGATAAACCAGGTGACTAGTTGACAACATGATGCTGTTGATTAAAGTTGAATTCTGCAAATTCGACCGATTTCACAGCAAACATGAAGTCGTTAAGAACAGCTTCGTGCTACCAGCTGTCAGAACGCTGAGCTGCTGATCCAGATGTGCAAACACGTCTTTAAGTTACTGGATCCAGTAGAAACGCTCTCATCTCGCCTGCACGACTTCAGTTTGTTCAGCAAGTCGACAATAAACCTGGTTTGGTTGGTTTGTGTGTCAACAGCAGCTGTGCTTCTGTAATTAATGATTTAAACAGTTTGTGTTTGTTAACGTGACCGACTGTCGGTTTGGGAACTAACTGGTCTAAAGGCCCATTTCTTGGAGGCTAAGCTGCCTGTGCGGCTAAACTCCAGATAAAACAGGAATGTTTCCACTGAAGCTGAACTCGGAGCTCAGAGCCGCAGAATGAAGCTCAGCGAGCTGCAGAAACATTCTTCAGACAAACAAACCGAAGCAGACGAACCTGATCGACCAGGAGCAGCTCCACATGTCTGCAGCTTCTGGTCGCCTCGTGGGCTTTTCTAGAACCTCGAGGATCTTTGTGCAGAACGTTCGAGGCCCAAACAGTGACGTCGCCGCGGTAACGACACAGTGACTCAGGATCTCCTCGACAACCACTAATCACAGTTTACATCGGCTCTTTGTTGCCTCCATACCGGCATCCTGACGTCTGCTGTTGTGCAACAGCGTCTGAATGCTTCGTGTCAGAGCAGAGCTTTGCCTCAACTCGTCCTCAACACGCCTCCTGATCGGCCTGCCGACGGTGAATCACAGCCGTCAGCTCAAACCACAAGGTTTACATGATGTAAACTTGTATTTGTGGTTTCCTACTGAAAAAGGACAAACTCCCACTTAATCCGTTATTGGATTAAATAACAGAAAACTAAAAACTGGAACTAAAACTGGTTCTTCAGTGACGCCAGAAAAACTAGTGTTCGCTCCAAAAAGGAAAAGAAAAGAAGCTTTTAGCTGCTTGGACCAGAAATAGGATCAAACTGTGTCGAGATTCTTAGAAAATATTCATAAAAATGTGCAAATTTTTTAAATAAAATATCCAACAAAATTGAAAAGGTGAAAAACTTCAAAATAGTCTAAAATAAAGTTTTAATTTTAAAAAATCCCAAAAGGTTTAAACTTTTAAAGAATAATCAGAAAATGTCAGAAAAATATTCTGTTAATAAAAAATTTCAAAAATATTTATAAAAAGGACAAAATAAGAAAATCTTCAAAATGCTAAAAATACAAAAAAAACAAAACAAAACACCACATGAACCATATGGCAAGAAAAAAAAATCTCTCAAAAAGTCAACAAAATGAAGGTAAATATCCCAAAATATTCATAAAATTAAAAGAATAACATTTTGCAGAAGTATTTTAAGAAAAAAAAGTGAAATAAAAATAATAAAGTTTCTCCAAATATTAAAAGATATTCGGAAAAAATTTCATAAAACATCCAAAAACAATAAAATTCTTCAAAAATTTTAATTAAATAAGAATTAAAAAAAAAAAAATAATGCGTCGAATAGAGAGAAAAAAAAAGCCAAAAAATATTTTGAATGGAAAGATTACAGCAAAAACGTCAAAGAAAAACCGTCTTTATAAATAAAACTTCACGTCTGAACTGTGAATATAAGAAGATTCAACATTATTCTGGTTCCTCCATTAAAACACGTTTAACGTTTCAGCTTTAAGCTGTTTCAAGATCTCAGCTGGAGATTCTGTAAAGGACTTTTGTTTTTACAGTTTGATTAAAACAGTGGTCAGCTGCAGCTCTAATTTCCTGCTTTTAGCTGCCAAGAACCTTTAAAGTCCATCAGAACCAATTCTCCAAACCAGGAGGTTCTTTAACTGGAAGAATCTTTATTGTCCTGATGTTTGTTCAGACGCCGTTATTCAGCCACTGGAGGGAAAGTTCCTGATAAGAACAGATGTGATCCTCGATAGAGTGATAACATCATTCAAGTCTCACGTGAGGATTCAAGGTTCAAGGATTTAAGGTCTTATTGGTCACAAACACAGTTAAACGGTGCAACAGGCAGTGAGATGCTCTGTGCTCCTGGTCCACATCGAAACAACAACAACAAGATAAATAATAATAATAATAATAATAATAAGATAAATAAAGATGAATGAGAATAAGGAGCCGAACACACAGGAAGTGGTTTTAGAAACAGGAAGAGAAGAAGCAGAATATCAGATTGTTGCTCCAGCATCATTAAAACCTTTTGGGTCTCAAAGATCCACCAGCTGAACTCATTAAACTGCACCAGGTATCAGAACCAGAACCGTCCAGCAGTCGAACGTATTGAAGGTTTGACCGAATACAACCACGTCTTAGCCTCAGATTGTAATCATTCCTGAGTCTTGTTTAAAAATTCACCAGAAATAAACCGTCGCCAACAACCAGAATCTGTCAAAAACTAACAATTCTGCACATCTCGGCACCAACAGGAAGCCTCGACCCACTGAGCAGCATCCAGCAGTCATGGAGCTAAAATTCACAGAGTTCAGGTTGAACTGCAGGAAGTGTTTAATACAGGATCGATCAGAGGAGCACGTTGTTGGATTCATTCAGCACGATGAGACGTCTTCCAGAATCAGAACAATGTTCTGGAGGTAAAAGCAAGAGAAGAAGAAAGAAGGAAACTCTTCATGAACGTCATAAATCCTCCTGCAGAGCTTCAGAACAAGGAAACTGTTCTTTAGTTTAAACCTTGTCAGTGACCTCGTTGATGCTCCACCTCGACACCGAGTCATGGGAAAGTGGTTCAACTGAACCTGAGTCAGCGCCGCCACGCCCAGCTACCCGTCAGAACCTCCGACTGCAGCCTCGAGGCGAAGCTGAACTCGTTTTAATCTGTTCACCACAGCGACCGGGTTTGTTCGGTTAATGAGGTCCGACCGCGAACGTCACACGACCTGCTGCCAGAACATCAGATCTACACGTAGATATGATTAATAATATAATAATTCAGCTGTTTTACACATAACGACCATCAGTTATGATTAAAGAGCATCAACAGGGCATCTGTTGTACACTGTAAAAAATGTGCATAAAGAATCAGTAGAGATCCAACAAAAAACATTAAAACTATGAAAATAGCAGCAAATGTCCTGAAAATAAATGTGATTTTTAGTTTTAATTACAGAATAAAACTGACATTTTATGAAAAAATATTCAACACAAGAATTCCCGGTTTTAAAAAAAATATAGAATAAATTTTTTTTTAAATGTAGAAATGTACAAATGTAAATGATCTTTTTCCTGTTTTTTCCAGTTAACATGAAAGCTAATAATTTTTCTGTAATTTTAACTGTAATTTAACAAAACAAGTGAATCCTGTAAAACAAAACCTCTTTGCTGTTTTAAATACAAGAAAAAAGTCATTTTACTATCAAACTTTAAATTATTCATTGTCTGGCCCTGTTTTACTTTTTTAAGATTTACATGAAAATTAATACTT